GGGGGGGGGGTGGGAGCTGCAGTCCGTGTGTGCTGGCTGATCTCACGGGCGTTGCTGTGTCCCAGCTATCTGCAGGGACGCGGGGCTGGGAGGGCAGGAGCTGTCGTCCCCTTCCTTGCCTCGTCCACACCCTGAAAGGGACCGCGGAGGCAACTGTCCCGGCCTGCACGCTGCAGGCACCTGGGGAGGCCGGGTCGGCCTCGCGACCCGCTTCCTCTCTGCCCCCTGCTTCCACCGCCTGGAGCGGACTGGGCCCGTGAGCTCCTAGGGCCGGTCCGGGTCTTCTGCACCTGAGCGTCTTCCCCAGGGGACAGGGTTAGGCCAGGTGCTGCCAGGGAGGAGGGACAGGAGAGCCTGGAGTTCGGAGAGCGTGGGGAGGTGGCTGTAGGGAAGGGGCAGCACAGTCTGCACCTCTGGCCCAGGGAGGCCGCCTGGGCCTTTGGGGACTCGGAGGAGGACCCGGGCCCTGAGGGCGGGGCTGGGAGCAGGGAGCCGAGGACGGAGGGCCCCCTGAACTGCTCTCCCCGGCCCGGCCCACAGACGCTCCTGCTCTGCCAGTGCCCACGGCAGGGGTGCTGGCCAGACTGGGCCCAGGAGCAGGGCATGGGGGCAGCTGTGCGGGAGCTCCTGGCCGCTGCTCCCGCGACCCTCCCAGCAGCCCCACCCTTCGACCCACCCGCCCCGAGGGCACGGGGGGCGCAGTGTGGGGCTGAGGCCCGTCAGGTGAGGAGGGAGTGGCGGGCGGTGCCCGGGGACAGCAGGGACAGGCAGGCCCGGCATCCGTGACCGGGAGGGGCCGGTGCGCTTGCGAGGGCGGGCGACGGGAACAGAGCCTCTTCCCAACTTGCCTCTAGTCCGAGCGACGTGGTTCCAGGGGAGGAGGGCGGTGTGGATGGCGGGCTGGAGGCGGAGGGAGAGGAGCGTGCCGGCCGGTCCGTGGGGAGGCCTTTGCTGAGCCCTCCCCTGCCCCCGCACCCAGCCCGCGGGGTCCGTGGTGCCTACGAACTGGCGTCCGCAGGCAGCAAGAACAGGCGGCCCTGCCGGCCACGAGACCACCCACAGTGAGGATGTGCGCGCGGAGCCCCCAGCTCACCTGACCAGTCCTGCCCCCCGTAAGGGTGGTGGGCTCGGGGACAGCGGGACGCACGAGCCTGTGGGGTCCCCGGCTGGAGGGGGCTGCCGGCAGCTCTGCCGAGCTGGGTGGCGCGGAGGGACACGCACGGCCGGTCTGCCCTCGCCCTCGGGCGTTTTGGGGCGAGGCTGGTCCTCAGAGCCTTCTCCCCTGAGGCCTCCTGGGCAGGTGTGGGGTGCAGGCTTTTGTCTCAGATCCGGGGAGCTGCCGGGGCCCAGGGGTCTGTTCCTGGTCGGAGCTCAGGCGCCCGGCAGGCAGAGGCACAGCGGAGACTCACGTCTCCAGGTGGATCTTATGGCACGTTGGTCTGAAAACAGGGACGGAGCCCCGGAGCCCGGGAGGTGGTGGGTGGCTCACCCCTGGGTATCTGTTTCCCCAGGTACCGCGTGGTGGTCTCATACCCGCCCCAGAGCGAGGCGGAGATCGAGCTGAAGGAAGGGGACGTGGTCTTCGTGCACAAGAAGCGCGAGGACGGCTGGCACAAGGGGACCCTGCAGAGGAATGGCCGCACCGGCCTCTTCCCCGGCAGCTTCGTGGAGAGCTTCTGAGGCCGTGACTGCTGCCCCCCCCCCCCC